CCTACAGATATAAGATGTTACATGTAGTAGATGTTACCCCTACAGATATAAGATGTTACATGTAGTAGATGTTACCCTACAGATATAAGATGTTACATGTAGTAGATGTTACCCCTACAGATATAAGATGTTAAATGTAGTAGATGTTACCCCTACAGATATAAGATGTTACAATATCATATGTAGTTGATGTCAACCTACGTTAGGCAATCGCCAGGTCCTGTCAGTAGGTCGGTGTTTTTTCTCTTGCTTTCCTCCGCCTAGTACGTCCTTCAATGACCATAGCTGTTTATAGGACGTAAAACACAATGAAACCAAATTCACATCGAAATAATCGTTATGCTATATATAGGTAAAACGAAAGTCACAAACCGCACACGCTGTAAATTACGCGATAATGTAGAACAGTTTGTCGTAGGTTCTATATATAATATAAAAGATGATACGCTTTGTATACCTGATTTTAGGCTATAAGATGAAGTGAAAATATACATGTTATATATATTAAATCTTTATCGTCGTTTGCTGTTACTTAACATACGACACACAACACCTGCGCTCGTACATGCATTTATTTTTGATACTACTAAAAAAAGTTTCCATTACCTTTTGTAGAAGTTTACACCCAATAGGGAGGCCAAAACAGCAGCAGAATGATATCAGATTTTGTCTGTTACATCGTCCTCCTATGTATTTATTCAAAGGCAGCAGCACCAATTCCAACTGCAACGAGATCAGGAAAGGTACCAACTCTGTACCGGGTGACAAATGATCGAAAGGCTGTATACAAAATATATCGGCTGACATGATTTACACAACTTCTCAACAGTCACCCTGTTGATTTCATATAATATGGACATATAATAATATAACATATAATATGGAAAAACCAGTGTCAACAGAAAACGAAAGTGAAAGTAGAATTTTGCAATATATTGCATTGGCTCCGAGCGACAAAATTATATATATATACGCACACGTGTATATTCTTTATTATCATTCAGTTTTGGCTATTAAATTCTAGTGTAGTGCTTTTCAGTAACCTGTTGATTCACATTATATTTTAACGTTGTATAGTGTTCTAGTAATAGGTTATCACAACACGCATGCATGGACACGCCTGTCCGTCCGGGTACAACCAGCTGGCTATAGATACAGCTGCTTGGAGTGAAGTCCGTCTGCTCGATAACCGAACTAATCGGTAATGAAGCGGACGTAAAATTATTTATTTTAAAAACCTAGCAAAGGTTCGGCTATAAAAGGAAATTAAAGTCCAATTTGATCCGCCAGTATGAGGTGTTCTTGTCCCGTTGGAACGGGTTTGTTTAATGGAGGCGGATATAGGGGTAAACCGACAATGCATTACACACCTATATTGTACGCTAGATACGGTATACAGGAATAAATAGATCTACTTAAGTAAAACTAGGTCTGCTCTTCTGATACAGACCATAGGGCGGTCTACTATTTAACATGCTATAAAATACCTAGTGAAATATACACCGAGGAAAGTATAAACTAGACACACATATTCCCTCCCCATCTTCAATAATATCCCTCTGAGGCTATATCCCTGTTAACAACAAAAACAGCCCCTAACCCAACTTACGACCCTCTATCAAATAAGATACCCAATCTTTCTAAGCACGCTTCGTTACTTTCGTTTATCACTTTTACGTGCATATAACGAAACTGCAACTCATAATTATGTCCAATTTCCTTTTCTCTTCCCATAAATAACACTCAAAATCCCCATTTTAAAATATATACAAATCGTCAGAACGGTGAATATTGTATAGAGTTGAAAAAGACGATATTGTTCAAGTTCAGTCAAGGGGAGATAATACAAATTTAATGGCTTAACGGGGATAATTAAAAAGTAAGATTGGTGGTGTACAGAATTTAGGTAAGGTTAATTGTAAGTAATACATCAATTTGAATGTTATCATAAGAACTGCGATAATGTCACACACTTCCGTTTGTTCAGGTATGTGTTTTTCTTAAGTGGTTGACTTTCTTTAACCTGAATCCTATTTTAAAAGTTCACCTCACCTTTCTGAGAAGTGCAAAACCCACGCCAATAAGGGGATACGCAAAGCACAAGGATTTCAAACAGTTTCTTTTCCATCTTTCTCCTTTGCGTTTACACAAATTAAGTACTGTCAGTAGCCACCGCGTCAACGGAAACGTCATCAATGGCACAATCGCTATGGCGTAGGACAGCTCGAGAGGCAGCTGTAGGCCGATAGGATTTGTATAGGAAACAGCTTCGCAAAGTCACTCTGTTAAGTCTCATATAAATAATACTACCTATGTATTAGGTTTAACCACGTACCACTTAGACATATCCGGTACAATGGAAAACCCGGTGTCACAGAAAACGAAAGTGAAAGTAGAATTATAAACAAGAGGCCCAGGGGCCTTAATAGCTCACCTAGTATTTTATTTTTCAATTTAAAACCTGCTGAGTACCATTCAGGTTTATCAAAGGAGTACAAGTAACAAAGTTGCATCTTCCATTTATAAATATTCAATTCCCTTTGCCCAAAGATTCTCTAAAACAAGTTTGGTTAGGTTAAAATCCCTTCAACGGTACAGAAGGAGAAGGATCTTTAATGTTTTCCTCTATTTCCCCTAATGGGCCCCACTAATCTGCCCCAAAGAAGGGGAATCCACACACCTCAGTTTAAACAAAATTGATTCTTTTCTCCCTAAGCATGCTTCAGACTGCATTTGGTTTAAATCCCTTCACTTGTATAGTAGGAGAAAAAAAATCCTCTATTTCCCCTATTGGGCCCCGCTCCTATGCCGCCAGAAGGCCCACACCCTCCGTTTATACAAACTTGAGTCTCCTTTGTCCAAAGATGCTCTAGGACAAATTTGGTCAAAATCCTTCAATTGGTTGAGGAGAAGATTTTTAAAGATTTACCTATTTTCCCCCTATTTGGCCCCGCCCCTCTGCCCCCAGGGGGGTTATACAAAACTGAGAACCCTTTGGCCAATGATGCTCCTGACCAAATTTGGTCAAAATCCTCTGAGCCATTCAGGACAAGTAGCATTTTAAAGGAAAAGGTTGACGGACGCCGGACGCCGGACGCTGCACCATGGGATAAGCTCACTTGGCCCTTCGGGCCAGGTGAGCTAAAAATGTAAGAAAGTGACTGGGTCTCGGTCAATTTAATGTCAAAGGTACATTATGTGGAAAAAATACAGTATATGCCTTTACTGTCATTCAGTTGCACTGGTCATTATAGCGTAATGTGTTTAATGTTCTGTTGTATTACATGAGAAATATTGCCAATGACTCGGTGGTGGATGCAACACTACTGGCCCGGGCAACACCCTTTTCTCTTTGTCCAAAATTAATCTGACCCAAAAATATTTTAAGATTTTCTCAAATATATCTATAGTCATATAAATAAAAGTCAAAACTAGAAGGCGTAGTGATTTTTGTTGTATGTCTCAACGGCCCCTACTTATCTTATTTCAACTATGAAAACCAACGTTTAATAAGCATTTCCTTAGTTTTCGTTTTTTCTCTCTCTCTTATTTTTAGATCTTTAATAGAATGTCCGTTCTAACTATTGACCGGAGCTCTCGTTGGATCGAGAGATTTCAGCCTAACATCACATGACCGTTTGGACACGTCCTTTCTCCTAAATCAAAGACTATGTTTAAAACGTAAATACAAACTCAATAGACTTTGTTCCTACACGGACGTAAAAGATTTTCCCGGTGTCCAACTACATTGTATGCATATACAGAGACTATATGTTATGTCTATCATTATTGATCATTACAGAGTTGGTTTTCCTAGGAGTATAATGTTTACAAAACAAGAGGCTATTACATATATTCAAATCAAACACGGTGTAATGTTAGACTGGGATGCGGACCGGAAACTAGATGGACCAGCTAAGCTGTCTGCACCGACAATGAAACTCATTATATCACTAATTAGTGATGTTTAGTTAAAGGAACACTAGACAACATTACAAGTTCATAACATTTATTTATTCTTTTGAGTACAATATTTCACATAGGTCTGATGATACAAGGGAGGTTAGGAATCATGAAATACAGTATGTATACATGTTTAATATCATTCAGAAAATACAAGGGGTTACGAAAATCGAAGGTGGGTGGTGAGCTATTTGATTGGTTTCAGGTAAAAAACACACTGACCAACCGCTACACTGATACCTAGCCTCTGAAGAATACAGAGGGGTTACACCTACCTTCAAAGCCAGTCAATTTTACTGTAAAGGTGCCGCAAGATTATTTTGAAATACATCAAAGGATCACACCAGTCTATTGTACCACCACAAGGTGGCACAGAAAGAGCCTTCAATTTCACCGCCATATATTCCAGGGGTGCAGAGAACACGAGAGATACAATATAGACATTTTATTTTATTACACAAAGTCAACCTCACTGTACCTGTACCTGTACAGTACTTATGTGTGTAATATTTAGTTACATGTACATCGTCTTCCATAAAAACGTCACAGAAAATTATAAGAAATCCATGATATCTCAAGAAAGGCACTCATACAATTACTACAGTTTACAATTTTTCTGCAGTATACCATTAAACTTACAATATTTCTGCAGTATACCATTAAACTTACAATTTTTCTACAGTATACCATTAAACTTACAATATTTCTGCAGTATACCATTAAACTTAGAATTTTTCTGTAGTATACCATTAAACTTATAATTTTTTTTGCAGTATACCATAAAACTTACATTTTAAGGTCAACACAAATTGAAATTTCATCACTCGTTTTCTTTTGTTTTATAAGGAAGATGATATAATAATCAAACAGGCAAAAATATTTGATAGGATTAAATAAACATGATAATAATATATTTCAACAACCATTTAGCTGGTGCATATATATATCCACAATAAAGTGGGATGGAAAAAGGAAATAAAAATTAATAAATTAATTCAACAAAATAGCAAGCATTAAAAATCAAATTCCAATTATAACAGTAACAAAAATAGGGAATTCATTGAACAGTGATATTGTTGTCTGGCGTAAATTTAACAAGTTTAATCGATCTTTAAATAACAAAGCTTCAGGGAGTTTGATTACAGAACGACATGCATATATATATATCTATATATAAAAATATCAATACATAAATATCTCAGCAGAATACCACAGTTACTGACAAATACATTTAACAACTTAATTTTGTTTATAGATGAAAACTGGTTATCTGTAACAGATGTAAACTGGTTATCTGTAAACTGATGAAAACTGGTTATCTGTAACAGATGTAAACTGGTTTTCTGTAACAGATGTAAACTGGTTTTCTGTAAACTGAATACCTACCACACAGATTTATTTTACATTAATTTCCATAAGAAAGAAACATGTTGGTTTAATTTGCATTCTAAATAAAAATAAATAAAACCCTCATTACTTTTACATTGTTGTACACAATTAATAAACTCCATTAACAGTGTCCAAATATAATATAGACAGACCTATATAATACAGACCTATACAATATAGACCTATATAATATAGACAGACCTATATAATATAGACCTATATAATATAGACAGACCTATATAATATAGACAGACCTATATAATACAGACCTATATAATATAGACCTATCTAATATAGACAGACCTATATAATATAGACAGAACTATATAATATAGACAGACCTATATGATATAGACAGACCTATATAATATAGACATACCTATATAATACAGACCTATATAATATAGACCTATATAATATAGACCTATATAATATAATGTAGAGGTTTGTTTTGTATTCTAGCTGTGATAGGATAAGGTCTGTCTATAGTATATAGGTCTATATTATATAGGACCTATATAATATAGACCTATAATATAGACAGACATATATAATATAGACCTATAATATAGACAGACATATATAATATAGACAGACCTATATAATATAGACCTATATAATATAATGTAGAGGTTTGTTTTGTATTCTAGCTGTGATAGGATAAGGTCTGTCTATATTATATAGGTCTATATTATATAGGACCTATATAATATAGACCTATAATATAGACAGACCTATATAATATAGACAGACCTATATAATATATACCTATATAATATAGACAGACCTATATAATATAGACAGACCTATATGATATAGACAGACCTATATAATATAGACAGACCTTATCCTATCACAGCTAGAATACAAAACAAACCTCTACATTGTATTCCACTTGTCTTTGTGCTTCAATTTTATGCTGTAAAAATTTACAATGTAGAAGAGTATTTCCGCGGAGATAATATTTTTGCAATTTTGCAGGTTAATAAGGTGATCACAAAATAACATGACATGCGACAACAAATTTCATAACCATAAAGTCGTCAGGGATTAGCACACATGTAGTTGTGACGATTCATACACTTAAAGGGTCATACAATATTTTTTGAATATAGATTAAATCACACATCTAATAGTTTTGTTGATGTGTTTAATAAAATCACTTACTTCTTGTTGCTCAATATGCCTATTCATTTGACTGTTTGACACTTTATATGCCGAGTGCCCTGTCTCTGTGCTAAAACACTTTATATGCCGAGTGCCCTGTCTCTGTGCTAAAACGCTTTATATGCCGAGTGCCCTGTCTCTGTGCTAAAACTCTTTATATGCCGAGTGCCCTGTCTCTGTGCTAAAACCCTTTATATGCCGAGTGCCATGTCTCTGTGCTAAAACACTTTATATGCCGAGTACCCTGTCTCTGTGCTAAAACACTTTATATGCCGAGTACCCTGTCTCTGTGCTAAAACACTTTATATGCCGAGTGCCCTGTCTCCGTGCTAAAACACTGCAAACATTTAGTTCCTTTACATGTCTCGATTGCAAAATCATAATCCGTGGAAATTGCAAAGCAAACAAAATTAATCTATCTTGTGTGTGGAGTTTTCAATGACTTCGCAGGCGTATGCACTCTCTATCGATTTGAACAGTTGCTTCGTACTTATACATAAACAGGGGCAAATGTAGTTTAACATGTGTCATCAATCATTATCTACATTTTATATACATGAAAGCCCAATACATTTTTAAGGATTAATTCATTATATCTCAATGTCTTCAAGTTTTCCCCAACTTGGGCCGACCTTGACCTTGACTGGCATGAGGACCGACATTGTCATAGCATGTTCCATTTCGTGCTTAATGATCTTAGCTGCCTCTGTAACATCAGCACAGGAAACTTCGTAAATGAGTTCGTCGTGGAGTTGTAGCACAAGGTAACCACCAGAGGGCGCTTTATAAACACCATTTGCTCTGTTCTTTCCATAGGTACCTATAATGATATTAATAGATAAGGTGTAGTCAACATTAGTAGGTGTTTTCTCACTTTTGGTGGTACTGTCGGTTTTAAATGGCTATATTTCCCTAGAACCATATTGATACACTGGTTTTGCTCGATGTCACCAGTAAAATAAAATTTAATGCAGTTAAACTGTAGTCAAGATGCATTGACAAATTCTGAAATACAGAGACAACGTCCCCTAAATAACACCAAAATACTTGTGAGCACAACAAAACTTGATAGCCTGGCTATCATTGACTAAATGTAACTTTACAAATCAGATTTAAATTTGTATGTAGATACTGTAACAATACTTTCGTAGCTCAAACAGCATCATTTTACCTCGGACTGTGGGCTTCTGTCGGTGAGCCAAGCTGCACTCTGGGAATACATCGGACAACCTCACATCAATACGGTTCATTGCCTTCTTGACGAGGTCAGCTGCAGATCCCTGGACAGTTGTATTCACTGCCTGCCTCTCTGCCTGTACACACATTTATAGGACAGTTATACAAGTATGTATTTTCTGTCCAGCAGTTAGTGTAATAAACCTGATCTGTCAAAATTCAAGATGGTCGTGAGGCAGCATCTTGTTCTGCAGATCAATCTTAAGATAAACATGTACAACAAATTAAGGACTAAGGGGAACCTTTATATGAAATCTGAAAAAAGATCCATCCAGCACTTGAGAAATAGTTAGAAATAGTGATAAGAATTGTTCAATTATGACGTCAGACAAAGGACAGTTTACTAGCCTGCCATCTTATGATGATGGTCTAAAATTCAAACATGTGATATTGATTGTGCTCAATTCTAAAAGTTGAAAAAGATAAAGTTTTGGAAAACTTTTTAAACAGAACAATTAAATGTATTGTGAGCATAGTCCTCATCTCTAGACAATATCTGGCATCAAAATATTGGGCCATTACTATATATATAAGAATGAACAAAATTTTAGTTTGCAACACTCCACCATCTAAAGATGAGAACACATTCAAAATTTGACACAGTATATTATCTATGCCCTGTACAAGGTTAATAAAGGGCCATAACTCTGTAAGATCACAAGGAGTTTCGAATGGTACGGAAACTAATTATAGACTGGTTAGTTCCAGAACATCCCTACTCCTACGATTCTGAGGATAGATATAAACTGTTATTTGCTAGCATTATAGCATCCTAGTGTAGTTCTGCTGTGAGACACACTGACCATACCTAAAATCAACAAGCAAGATTTGACAGCAACTGAAATAATAAGTGCCCATTTTCTCAGTTAATATTCATATTATATTATATGTTACTTATTTATTTTTCACATTTTTTTAACAATTCATTTCTTTTATCCAAAAATTATAAGCCAGTAAAAATAGACTACTTGTTGATGCATTACACTTCTTTATTACAAAACGTACATCTATCTTTTGTGTGTTTCTGTTGGTGCTTCGACTTACGTGAGCTCTGGCGTGTGGATTGGTATCTCTGATGGAAGGGAGATAACGACGTCTGCCCAGGATTGTTTCTACATAGCCCTTCTCTCTGCAGGTCTCCACTGACTTCCTCAGGAACGTCCTCATACCTACAAAAACAATCTCCATTCCCTGTAACTGATATGTCATCTCCATTCCCTGTAACTGATACATCCTCACACCTACAATTCCCTGTAACTGATACATCCTCACACCTACAAGTCTCTGTAACTGATACGTCCTCATACCTACAATTCTCCGTAACTGATACATCCTCACACCTCCAATTCCCTGTAACTGATACATCCTCATACCTACAATTCTCTGTACCTGATACATCCTCACACCTACAATTCCCTGCAACTGATACATCCCCAAACCTACAAAAACAATCTCCATTCCCTGTAACTGATATGTCAACTCCATTCCCTGTAACTGATACATCCTCACCCCTACAATTCCCTGTAACTGATACGTCCTCACACCTACAATTCTCTGTAACTGATACGTCCTCATACCTACAATTCTCTGTAACTGATACATCCTCACACCTACAATTCCCTGTAACTGATACATCCTCACACCTACAATTCCCTGTAACTGATACATCCCCACACCTACAAATACAATCTCCATTCCCTGTAACTGATACATCCTCACACCTACAATTCCCTGTAACTGATACATCCCCACACCTACAAATACAATCTCCATTCCCTGTAACTGATACATCCTCACACCTACAATTCCCTGTAACTGATACATCCCCACACTTACAAATACAATCTCCATTCCCTGTAACTGATACATCCTCACACCTACAATTCTCTGTAACTGATACGTCCTCATACCTACACATACAATCTCCATTCCCTGTAACTGATACGTCCTCACACCTTCAATTCCCTGTAACTGATACGTCCTTACACCTACAAAAACAATCTCCATTCTCTGTAACTGATACGTCCTCATACCTACCATTCCCTGTAACTGATACGTCCTCTCACCTACAATTCCCTGTAATTAATATGTCCTCACACCTACAATTCTCTGTAACTGATACATCCTCACACCTACAAATACAATCTCCATCCCCTGTAACTGATACGTCCTCACACCTACAATTCCCTGTAACTGATACGTCCTCACACCTACAATTACCTGTAACTGATACGTCCTCACACCTACAATTCCCTGTAAGTGATACATCCTCATACCTACAATTCCCTGTAATTAATACGTCCTCATACCTACAATTCCCTGTAACTGATACATCCTCACACCTACAACTCCCTGTAACTGATACGTCCTCACCCCCACAAAAACAATCTCCATTCCCTGTAACTGATACATCCTCACACCTACAACTCCCTGTAACTGATACGTCCTCACACCTACAAAAACAATCTCCATTCCCTGTAACTGATACGTCCTCACACCTACAATTCCCTGTAACTGATACATCCTCACACCTACAATTCCCTGTAACTGATACATCCTCACACCTACAATTCCCTGTAACTGATACGCCCTCATACCTACAATTCCCTGTATCTGATTCGTCCTCATACCTACAAAAACAATCTCCATTCCCTGTAACTGATACGTCCTCACACCTACAATTCCCTGTAACTGATACATCCTCACACCTACAATTCCCTGTAACTGATACGCCCTCATACCTACAATTCCCTGTATCTGATTCGTCCTCATACCTACAAAAACAATCTCCATTCCCTGTAACTGATACGTCCTCACACCTACAATTCCCTGTAACTGATACATCCTCATACCTACAATTCCCTGTAATTAATACGTCCTCATACCTACAATTCCCTGTAACTGATACATCCTCACACCTACAATTCCCTGTAACTGATACATCCTCACACCTACAATTACCTGTAACTGATACGCCCTCATACCTACAATTCCCTGTATCTGATACGTCCTCACACCTACAATTCCCTGACTGATACATCCTCACACCTACAATTCCCTGTAACTGATACATCCTCACACCTACAATTCCCTGTAACTGATACGCCCTCACACCTACAATTCCCTGTAACTGATACGTCCTCATACCTACAAAAACAATCTCCAACTCCTGTAACTGATACATCCTCACACCTACAATTCCCTGTAACTGATACGTCCTCATACCTACAAAAACAATCTCCATTCCCTTTAACTGATACGCACTCATTCCTTCAAAAACAATCTCCATTAACTGTAACTGATCTGGTTCAGGACACAAGTGTCGATACCCTACCTGTAAATCACTGAAGGTGCTGCTAATTGATTGACCTGTTTCAGGTGTTGCTACCCATTTCATCTGACTGTGATCGTGCCTCTATGACACAGAGCCTTGTATCACATGTTTGTGATAGAGAATGTATTAGCAGAATCTAACTAGAGCTTCCTGTTAGTTGAAACTCAAGTCAAATCAACTGAAAATAGGACCAAATCTGTATCCCTTGGTGGCTGTATTGATATAACATATGTCATTAGTCCATCCTCTACATCATTGTTATGTACCTGTTAATCATCCTTTAGGGACCACAATGAAAACTCAATCAGGGAATATCATAAAAAAATGTTTTGCAGATATTATAACAGGTATATAAAGACCAATAACTATTATTGAAGGTGTGCGATAAAGCAATACCACACAAACGGCTGTATCTGACATTCTGTGTTGTTTACATGCAGAGATATTTGTCAGAACAATAAAGCTGTGCTATTTTAGTCATCAGGAAAGGACAACTTACATGTGGTACAGGTCCACTGTTAAATACAACAAATAGCTTTATACCTGGATATCTTGATTTGAACGTCTCGATAAATACAGCAGCCTCATTCTGATCCACTTCCAGCTGTTCTCCCAGGGCCTTGGGTCCAATACCATACACCATACCATAACACACCTATAGCGTGTTAAATTTAATGGCAACATTAATTATTAACCAATTAATGACCCTCATATGCTTTATGATAACATTTTGATGGCTATTTATCATTAGAAAAGCAATTATGGCTTCTGTATTTTATTCCTGATTCATCATTGTTTTCATCTACAGATTAATAAACATTACTTTAATGCTTGACACAGCTAACCTGATTTTACACAGTATACATCTCTAAGTGGTATAGTTACCTGTTTTGTCTGCTGTCTCTGTTGGGGTGTGACATGACAGTACACCTGATTTTACACAGTATACATCTCTAAATGGTATAGTTACCTGTTTTGTCTGTTGTCTCTGTTGGGGTGTGACATGACAGTACACCTGATTTTTCATGGTATACATCTTTAAGTGGTATAGTCACCTGTTTTGTCTGTTGTCTCTGTTGGGGTGTGACATGACAGTACACCTGATTTTACAAGGTATACATCACTAAGTGGTGTAGTTACCTGTTTTGCCTGCTGTCTCTGTTGGGGTGTGACATGACAGTACACCTGATTTTACAAGGTATACATCTCTAAGTGGTATAGTTACCTGTTTTGCCTGCTGCCTCTGTTGGGGTGTGACATGCTCAATAGACACACTTTTCCATTGAGCTGCGATCATCTTAAACACATCACCATCCCGGTTCAGAATGCGTGTGAGTTTGACATCACCTGACAAGTGGGCAATCATTCGTAACTCTAGTTGTGAGTAGTCCGCAGCCAAGATCGCTCCGCCTGAAATCAGCAAGAACGGACTCGGGGAAACTGAAGGCTTCTTTACAGAATATTAGAGGATTTCTTCTCTGTTGTCTAGTATTTTATAATAGTTAGATATTTTTTCTCTGTTGTCTAGTATTTTATAATAGTTAGATATTTTTTCTCTGTTGTCTAGTATTTTATAATAGTTAGATATTTTTTCTCTGTTGTCTAGTATTTTATAATATTTAGATCTTTTTACTCTGTTGTCTAGTATTTTATAATATTTAGATATTTTTCTCTGTTGTCTAATTTACAGGACAATTCATTCTGAAACTGATTGGTTGTTCTAGGCAAATGGAATCGAAAATGCAAACAAAAACATGTAGACCTATTTATCTTGCTTTACATAATTTCCATTGTTACAGTAACATTCAATATAGATATCAGTTGGTATGTTGTGGTCTTGTTTGTTTGTCTTCACACAATACACGACTTTAAAGAAACAACATAAAGTATGACGTACATTACTATTGATCTAGATTATGTCAATATCATCTATTTTACAGTAACTTATATAATCCTTAATTTTCAAATGAAATCGAAGTCTGAAAATCCTTCCACCATCATAACACTAAACTGCAGTAGATACGACAAAACAAAGTATATTGACAAAACAAAGTATATTGACATGTAATGAATATAGACTTCACAAACACTATTTCACTTGTGAATAATGAGAATTTTTACACTCCCTTACCTGTGAATGGTGAGAATATTTACACTCACAAACCAGTGTATGATGAGAAATGTTACACTCCTTTACCTGTGAATGGTGAGAATTTTTACACTCCCTCATCTGTGAATGGTGAGAATTTTTAAACTCCCTTACCTGTGAATGGTGAGAATTTTTACACTCCTTCACATGTGAATGGTTTGACTTTTTAACTCCTTTACCTGTGAATGGTGAGAATTTTTACACTCCCTCATCTGTGAATGGTGAGAATTTTTACACTCCCTTACCTGTGAATGGTGAGAATTTTTACACTCCCTCATCTGTGAATGGTGAGAATTTTTACACTCCCTTACCTGTGAATGGTGAGAATTTTTACACTCCCTCATCTGTGAATGGTGAGAATTTTTACACTCCCTTACCTGTGAATGGTGAGAATTTTTACACTCCCTCATCTGTGAATGGTGAGAATTTTTACACTCCCTTACCTGTGAATGGTGAGAATTTTTACACTCCCTCATCTGTGAATGGTGAGAATTTTTACACTCCCTTACCTGTGAATGGTGAGAATTTTTACACTCCTTCACATGTGAATGGTTTGACTTTTTAACTCCTTCACCTGTGAATGGTGAGAATTTTTACACTACCTCACCTGTAAATGATGAGAGTTTGTATACTTCCTTACCTATGAATGGTGAGAATATTTTCACACTCCCTTATCTGTGAATGTTGAGAATGTTTACACTCCTTTACCTGTGAATGGTTAGAATTTTTACACTCTCTTAATTACCTGTGAATGGTGAGAATGTTTACACTCCCTCACCTGTAAACGGTATAAAAGCATGCCTCATGCTGACGGCCCAGGATGCTCCACTATTTCCTGCTGATACAGACTGCCTAGGTCCTCCAGTGAAATATCTCAGTCTGGAGTTACCTCCCTTGCCTCTAGCAACTTTTGTCTGTCTCAATTCTGTCTGGTTTACAGGTGGGCTTTCACCAATAACATCTTGCCAAAATATTACACTGTATTAAAACATTAACACTACTTGTTTCTTTTGTATTGAAATGAACTCCCAGATAATTTACCGTGATGCTGTACATTTTGCTCTAATTTGGAAAAAAATTAGAATAAAGAATCATGATTTGCACTAGCAAACTGAACAGGTAAATCCAGTTATTCTGTGAATTTAATATGGGGTTATACAACATATTATAAATTTTGCACTAAGCACTAAGTCAGCACTAAGGTCTTAGTTCAAAAATGTTTTCTCATATAAAGGCCAAGGTCTACAACGATTTCACAACCTAAAGCTCAGGTCGGCCGCCGCCTGCTCGTCCACAACTGTTTCTCACAGGAGTGTTGATAATTGTTTCTCATTATAAGGCCTACTGTTTATGGAGTTTCTTACCTGGGAGAGAAATCTCAAAGTCCTTAGGAATGTTTTGTAGGTTCGGATCAGCCATGCTGACCCTACCAGTGGCAGTGTGGACCTGACAATCACTGAAGATGCGATGCATGTTTAGATGGGATACATGGACTTTCTCCTTCTGTAGGGGGAACACCACCTTGGTCAGGGCATTGCTGATCCTTCTCCACTCCAGCACCAGGCCCGGCAGATCATGCAGCTTTTTCAACTTCTCCAACACTTCCTTAGAAGTGCTGAATTGGGGTTTCTGATGGCCTCGTCGAGTAGCAGGGGCCTTTCTCGGGAGCTGGACTTGACCCACACTGCTCGGGTCACCATTTGGTGGAAGTTGTAACTCAATGAACAAGACCTATAAACAGTTCAAACATGGTTGCAATGTATAACATGGACATCACTGTGACAGTTCAGGCAGATCAGCTTGGTTTCTACAGTACTGTTCACTACAAAGAAGGCAATACAGAAATCAACAACCTGATCAAAATGAAATCTTTTATTCCAATCCAATACTCTACGTTGAGTGAAGAGTATCAGAGTGGAATTAAGATTTTGTTTTAATTAGATTGAAGAAAACCCTAACTCTGCACGGTGAAGCCATCTCAGTCGACTGTTACAACGTCTAGTGGGTTACAGCAGGTTTATCCTTGCCCCTGTGAAGGTATTAATAAACCACTTGCCCCTGTGAAGGGTTTAATAAACCACTTGCCCCTGTGAAGGGAATAATAAACCACTTGACCCTGTGAAGGTAATAATAAACCACTTGCCCCTGTGAAGGGAATAATAAACCACTTGCCCCTGTGAAGGTATTAATAAACCACTTGCCCCTGTGAAGGTATTAAAAAACTACTTGCCCCTGTGAAGGGATTAATAAACCACTTGCCCCTATGAAGGTAATAATAAACCACTTGCCCCTGTGAAGGTATTAATAAACCACTTGCCCCTGTGAAGGGATTAATAAACCACTTGCCCCTGTGAAGGGATTAATAAACCACTTGCCCCTGTGAAGGTAATAATAAATCATTGAAACATTATAGTACAGATACAACATTGTAACAATGTAACGATCACACTGATCGAGAAGTTTAATGTGCGAATAATAAAAATCTAGACGATTATTGCTTGCGCACATTTGTGCGGACGATGGACGAACGTTGTGCGATGACTATCGTGGTTGATGTTAACTGAGAAATGGCTTAACGATATATACGGTTTAAGGATATATAGGGTTTTAACGATATATACGGTTTAACGATATATAGGGTTTAACGATATATAGGGTTTTAACGATATATAGGGTTTAACGATATATACGGTTTAACGATATATAAGGTTTAACGATATATAGGGTTTTAACGATATATGCAATTTCATGTTTAAATACATAAATTGATTATTTAAGCATGTTTCTATATTCTAGCTTCATATTTAAGCTGATCTTTCTATCTATATAAAACGACCCAAATCGACACATGTAAGATTATAACACATATGGACATGGTCCCATATACAGGTACAAATGTAAACATTGCCACTTTGCTCATGTACCTGTTCTGTTACCTGGGAACCAAACCCATTCTTGACAGTCTAACAGTCACTGTTATGCTGTGTAACACGCATTGTAAAATTAAACATAGTCCTAATTAATTTGATGAGCAATTTATATATACAGTGTTCCTTATTCCTTACGAGCCTTCCAGATATTTCTCATTTCGTAACATTGATCAACCCATTGTACCAAATCGCACATTTATGCAGAAAGCGCACAACGGGGCAAACGACAATCGCAGTTGTATGCACCATTTGTGGACGATGTGCGGACGCTATTTTTGGTATGTTGTGTAGTGATGAGCAATCGGGTTAAAATCATAATCGGCTTGTAATTAGAATTAGCAAACCGAAGGATGATCGATTGCATAATCGGTTATAATTTCATAGGAAAGAATACCAAAATAAAGGGAGAACACTACCATAAGATCAATAGACAAGGTGTACACTGTGTTTTGTTCTTTAATACCGAATGAATTTCAAGCAATTTTTATGCAGTTTTAAATATAAGACTTTCAATGCACAAATTTACATTGAAAACATTTAACACTTTAATTTCATGAAAGAAATGAAAACAAAGATGAACCGATTATATCGATTATGGAATTTGTAATTGATAATAGAAATCGGAAAGGGCAAAACCGATCAATTTTCGATTATAATCAATTATCAGCCCATCACTATTTGCAAACAAATTTTTATATATAGATATGTAACAATATTTAGGGACTATTGCAATATATTAGCATACTTTCTGTTCCTAGTAAGTCAGTTTATTTATAATGATTTCATATGGGAAAGTGAGCACCAGTTCAGCAAGCTTCTCCTTAAAATTGAAATTGAAGTTTTGAAATTATATTGTAATCATGCTTCACAAATATTGCAATGCACATGTAGGATAAACAGAGTTACTCCCCTTGTTAATCAGATACAATCCATTAAAATATAGTTTTAAATCAAGGATGGTATTAAGTTAACATAGCAGGCCCAAGTTTATCAATTGGGTGTTGTTTTGCAGAAACAATCTAAAGCATATTATTACAGCAAATGTCTAGCATGGTGTAACTTATGATCTAGAATATGGTGTTACAACCTTGAACATGGTGTAACAATCTAGAACATGGTGTTACAATCTTGATCATGGTGTAACAATCTATATCAAGGTGTTACAATCTAGATCATGATGTTGCAATCTAGAATATGGTGTTGCAATCTTGATCATGGTGTTATAATCTAGAATCTAGAATATGGTGTTAGAATTTTGATCATGGTGTTATAATCTTGATCATGGTGTTACAATATTGATCATGGTGTAACAATCTTGATCATGGTGTTATAATCTTGATCATGGTGTTACAATCTTGATCATGGTGTTACAATCTTGATCATGGTTTTACAATCTTGAACATGGTGTTACAATCTTGATCATGGTGTTACAATCTTGATCATGGTGTTACAATCTTGAACATGGTGTAACAATCTTGATCATGTTACATCGTCCTGTATTATAATCTATAATATGGTGTTGCAATCTTGATCGTAGTGTTACAATGTAGATCATGGTATTTCAATCTAAATCGTTTAGTTACAAGCTAGATCATGGTATTACAATCTAGATTAAGGTGTTACAATCTAGATCAAGGTGTTTCAATCTAGATTATGGTGTTTACATTCTAAATCGTTTTGTGACAATCTAGATCAAGGTGTTACAATCTAGATAACTGTGTTACAAGTACATTGTAACTGTAATCCATTTGATCAGGTCTACTTTGAGTAGTTTAGAGGCTGTCTCTATACCTGAGCTACGTCCTCTGTACTGGTCAGTGAGAAGGGATGTCCAGCTAGTTGGTACGCCTGCTCCTCCAGAGCCGTCAGTTTAGCCGTCATAACGCTCTGTTGACTCTCACATTCCACCTCACTGAAACCTGATCATATGTGAACATAACTAAATACTGTCATTCTGTATCGTATATTGCTGTTGATTTTGTAGCATCAAAGTTTGATGGTTATGATCAACTATGTCAACAGTTATAACTATTTCTCTTTCAGAATGGCAAAGAATTTGCTGAAATTACACGGGTTTTTTTGGGGGTGGGGGTGGGGGGCAACAATATTTAGCTTCAATTATAATTCAATCTATAACTTTTGTACTAATAATGCCAGATGATGTTCAATGCGTGCTTATACATAAATTGAATAAAAAAAAGTTCGATAAAATTATGGGTTTAAGCATGAACTTGAAAAATGTTTGTTTTCCCCCCACATTTCTTCACAATGCCAATAATAAAAAATAATCATGAATAATTTGAGGCTCTTATATACTGCTTTATCACAACCTAGTTCATAGGTCGTCTCAAAGCGGTTCACAAATTATTATCCGTGGTTGTAGAGCCGGTGCAACCAGCCAATATCTTTCTCACCTCCCTGGGTAGCATACAGCCGGTGCTGCCATTTCGGCGCGAACAGCTAGCATTCTACAATTCTAGCACTGCCTAACCACACACTAATTTACATCTGAGTAGACTGGAACAAGCGGAGTAACGTATCCTGCTCAAAGATACAACACAGTGCTGTGATGTGACTCGAACCAGCAACCCTTCGGTCACGAGCCCGGCGTCCTCCTGATAAATAATGAACATGTGATAAATGCTAAGGATATGTCTAAGATTGAAACTGATTGTTCCTTTTGTTGTTGTAGTATCAAAGACATTGGCACTATAGGCTGTTCAGTTTTAGTGGGTGAAATAACTGTTTGTACTATTTCTTTGTTTTACTTTGACATTAACACAAATATAATTATTTATACATTAATAATATTACTTATATCTGGAAGAGTCCTTCATTACAATAAATATCTCGAGTACACTTTCTATCATAATATTAATGTTTGTCTGCATAGGACCTGGATCACAGAATATTTATATGACTTCCAGTGCTTCCTCCACAGTCATCATCACCTACCGAAGCCGTTGAGTTGCATCCTAGCCAGAGTGACAATGGAGGGCATCTCGACCCTCTGAAAGGCCTGGTGGAGACCCTCCTTATGGAGACAGGCCCGCAAGTAGTCCATCAGGTGTAGGGTGAGCACTGCCTCCGTAGTGGCCCGGAAACGTCCCGACCCCGGGTTCTGTGGGGTCATACCTAGGCTGCTGAAGCCCACTCCACCACCTATACCTGGAGGGAGGGGAGATAACCAATGTAGACCTGATTACAACATACACATTGATATACAGTAAGTTTATACTGTTGATATCATACCGAGGCTGCTGAAGCCCACTTCTCCACCTATACCTAGAGGAAGGGGAGATAACCAATGTAGACCTGATTACAACATACACGTTGATATACAGTAAGTTAATACTGTTGATATCATACCGAGGCTGCTGAAGCCCACTCCACCACCTATACCTAGAGGGAGGGGAGATAACCAATGTAGACCTGATCACAACATACACGTAGATATACAGTAAGTTAATACTGTTGATATTATACCGAGGCTGCTGAAGTAGATACACGTAGATATACAGAGAAATAACTCTGGGAATACAAAGTTAATATTGTTGATGTAATACATAGAAAAGGAGATACAAGATCACAGTGTATACAGCATTCAAATTCCTTAATGACACAATGGGATAAAAATGATGCATGCATCACAATTTTTTTTTAAATTAAGAGACTGCTGATGAAATAGAAACTAATTAGTTCTTTACACATAGGTCAGAAAGTTTGGATTCATTTTCTGTGCTTTATAAAGTGTGATATCCTAAACTTTCTGACTAGTTTGTTGCTGTTACTTTACAAAATTGTAGCCAGAATGCCTGTTCACGGTTTCTGAGCTAATTCAGATGTATGGAATGGATGATAATACTGTTTCATACCCAGGGGTGTAGAACTGGGAAATCACCCGCTAAGGATTTCAAAATTGAAGAAATCTGACCTTTTCAATAACAACCCTAGCCTACACCCCAAGGCATGAACAAGTCTTACATATTTCTTAGGAATTTTCATTACCCAAAGTCATCTGCTCTGATCTTCTATGAGGAATTCCAATGACAATAAGATTCATTGTTCATGAGAACAGATTTAAAGTGTTTCATTACGTGAAGTCAGAAATGAAACAATGCAAAGATTTGTTTCTCTACATGTATCACAGATTGATCATAAAAGATTATAGGGCCAGAAAAGGAAACCTCGACCAAAGTTCTTGTACTCTCATAATCAGTGATGCTAATTTTGTGTATTGACCATTTAGAAGATGTATTTCTGTGTGAACTGACCCTCTAACAAAGGCACTTCAGTGGGTAGGTAGTTGGTGACCATTCTATGTAGGTTCTTTTCTTTGGCCCCTGGGTCCATCAACCAACAGGCGACTTTTGGGTCCTGGAATCGGCCCCTAGGGGCAATACCACAGCTCCTTACTAGCACACAGTACGAGGCTTTCACATCAAACATGGCAATATTGACCAGCTCCTCCCCACAGACACCCTGCTCTAGAACAGACTGTAGGCCACTTAGTCGTGTCTCTATAGTGATACTGGTATCCATGGGCGGTGGGGTTAGGCTGTCGTCAAGGTCACCTAAAGGTCAACATAAAACCAAAAACTGGCTATAGGACGGGCAAACATCTGTTTGGATCACAACTCACTTGTAGGTATATATATACAACAATATATACTTCATAAATCTCATCATAAATCTTTTATATGACATATATAATGAAAAAATCATTCTTAATGGAAGTACTATGTAGATAACAGCTTACCATCAGTTGTATACTATGTAGATAACAGCTTATCATAAGTTGTATACTATGTAGATAACAGCTTATCATCACTTGTATACTATATAGATAACAGCTTACCATCAGTTGTATACTATGTAGATAACAGCTTACCATCAGTTGTATACAATGTAGATAACAGCTTATCATCAGTTGTATACTATGTAGATAATAGCTTACCATCAGTTGTATACTATGTAGGTAACAGTAGATAACAGCTTACCATCAGATGTATACTATGTAGATAACAGCTTATCATAAGTTGTATACTATGTAGGTAACAGCTTATCATCACTTGTATACTATATAGATAACAGCTTACCATTAGTTGTATACTATGTAGATAACAGTAGTTAACAGCTTACCATCAGTTGTATACTACGTAGATAACAGTAGATAACAGCTTACCCTCAGTTGTATAATATGTAGATAACAGCTTACCATCAGTTTTATACTCTGTAGATAACAGCTTACCATCAGTTGTACACTATGTAGATAACAGCTTATCATAAGTTATATACTATGTAGATAACAGCTTATCATCAATTGTATACTATATAGATAACAGCTTACCATCAGTTTTATACTATGTAGATAACAGCTTACCATAAGTTGTATACTATGTAGATAACAGTAGATAAAAGCTTACCATCAGTTGTACACTATGTAGATAACAGTAGATAACAGCGTACCATCAGTTGTATACTATGTAGATAAAAGCTTACCATCAGTTGTATACTATGTAGTTAACAGTAGATAACAGCTTACTATCAGTTGTATACTATGTAGATAACAGAAGATAACAGCTTACCATCAGTTGTATATTATGTAGATAACAGTAGATAACAGCTTATCATCAGTTGTATATTATGTAGATAACAGTAGATAACAGCTTTCCATCAGTTGTATACTATGTAGATAACGGCTTATCATCAGTTGTATACTATTTAGATAACAGCTTACCATCAGTTGTATGCTATGTAGATAACAGCTTACAATCAGTTGTATACTATGTAGATAACAGTGGATAACAGCTTACCATCAGTTGTATACCATGTAGATAACAGCTTACCATCAGTTGGATACTATGTAGATAACAGTAGATAACAGGTTACCATCAGTTGTATACTATGTAGATCACAGCTTACCATCAGATGTATACTATGTAGATAACAGCTTATCGTCACTTGTATACTATATAGATAACAGCTTACCATCATTTGTATACTATGTAGATAACAGTAGATAGCAGCTTACCATCAGTTGTATACTATGTGGATAACAGCTTACCATCAGTTGTATACCATGTAGATAACAGCTTACCATCAGTTGCATACTATGTAGATAAAAGCTTACCATCAGTTGTACACTATGTAGATAACAGTAGATCACAGCTTACCATCAGTTGTATACTATGGAGATAACAGCTTACCATCAGTTGTATACCATGTAGATAACAGCTTACCATCATTTGTATACGATGTAGATAACAGCTTACCATCAGTTGTATGCTATGTAGATAACAGCTTACAATCAGTTGTATACTATGTAGATAACAGCTTACCATCAGTTGTATACATGATTCATGCATTCATGATTTTTTGTTATTACTTTCACAATAAAATCAGCGATGCAGTGCCCTAAAATGAAATGCGCGCGGGGCTGAGAACCATGTCATCAATTTTTTTTGGCCTAATATCCATAATCTAGTACAACATTCCAACAATCACATTTATTTGATAATGTTTCAGTTCACTGTTTGCTATCACAGAGTATAGATCATGCAAGATCTTAATAGTGCTCACAATCAGAGTTTTCTTTAGTGAGGGCGACATAGTACGCATCCCTGTTCTCCCAGCAGATAGCCACGCCCACCACTACAAGCTCCGCCCCCTCCACCTCCAGTCCATCCACTACACCACCTTTATCTCGTGACCCAGCTGTATGGTAACAAAACAATGTTAAAGACAAGTTATTACAATGTAAACGATGTACATCATCCATGAATGACATCACAACCATCAACCATGGATAACATCTACGATGTACCCGGTGAGTTATCGTACAGGGTTTTCCTCAAATACATTGGCAAAACAGTCAAATAAAGTATCATCTTGTATGGCTTGTGACATCAGATATCAATGTATAATCACCAATAAAGTGAATGAACCAGACATTGGAACTGAGAGTATAAGACGTAGCCATATCATTCCGTTTCCATACTTTTGATATAAAAAAAGTCTGGTAGATCATAATGAAGGACTTCTATTATTTAAATGCCTTTACTATAGCAAACAGGAGGACTGTTTTGTTTACAACCTGTAAAACTTACCAACAAGTCAACTCACTTCTTAGTTATCATATGGGACAATTCCAAAAACCTTTAATATAAATCTATAACAGGACTGTTGTTATTTTAAATCATCTGAAATCATAAAATACATTGAATCAGTGTTAATGTTTGCTTGTAATTACTTTGTCCTGATGTCATAAAACTTACGCGCACCAAAGTTGCCACCAATGCCACCACCAGCCACTGGCGTCAGTGGCCGGTTCTCGCAAGCCACCGACAAAGTGTAGTAGCTCTTTGTAGCCCACTCCTTGATGAAGGTGTCAAACAAGCGGCGGTCAGCACAAACGTCCACAATGGTGAAGCTGGCCTGAGTACAGGGTATACCACTGTCGTTAGGGTCAATCACAGGCAGGCGTTCCTCATACACCACATTAGGGGGGTCGCAGGGATGGAGATCACTGTCTGAAAACGGAAATCAGTCATTGGACTCTTACCGTATTTGGAGGTGGATTCTAGATAGTGCAGACTAAACCAAGTCTGATCATAGATTTCACCAATGACCTTTACCTGTCCTTGAATTTCTAAGATGTTTATCCTATTCAAAGATTATTAACTTTTCCTAATTTAAATGGGATTGGACACACATGTACGGCCTTTACACCGTTTGTGTTCTAAGTCATATTGAGCAAAATTATAGCTTTTACCAATAACCTTGACATATGATACTGAACTTCAAACAGGCTTCTTACTCTTACTATGCCCAATCACTGTATACCATGATTGAATGTGATTGTATAAACAGCTACTGCCTTTTATGCAGACCCTGATCATTGTATCAGCTTGGGTAAGATTGGTTACATAGCCTTTACATACCTAAGGGCAAAAACAAACATGTTACTGTAATATATTCATCTCCATCTCCAGATTTTTATTTTGTAAAACCATGACATACCTGGAGTATCCAATTTTGAGTTGAAATTGCTTCTGTTCAGAATTATTTCCTCTCTGGTATTACACTCCGCTGTTATAACTAAAGTGTATATATTTCATACTATTTAAAACAATTTGGGTTTACTTTTAAAGAGTGGTGACTGCCGTCACATGTAGAAATGATCAACAGTGACCTATCTACCGGACATAACATACCTTTAGAACTGTTTGGCTTTCTTGTACCGACACACAGGTCAAGTTTCTGGCTGGCCTTCCCCCGCCGTGGCGTTCTGGGTTTCAGAGGTGTTACTTTCCTCAGAGACATGTGAGGAGACATACAGTTGGTAGGCGGGGGTGTTGGAGGTAAACAGTCACTGTTTGTGCTCAGGTTCTGTATTGAGTCCTCCTTTTCACCAGAACCAGAAGTGACCTGTTTCTTGGACTTATCAGCTTCACCTTTCTCTGTGCTCCGACGTTTACGAGCAGACCTAGTAATCCTCACACTGTCTTCAAGGCCAGCATCTGACGACAGGCATATATTGTTTGTTATAGAAGCAGATTTTTTCTCAGACTGTACAGAACCTGTTGGTTTTCTGTTGTTTGTCCCGTTAGACACTGAGCCTGACTCACACATACTGTTTAGGAAGTTGAGGGTCCCTGGACTCAGGTGTTTGTGACTGCTAGTAATTGACACAGATTTCTTTTGATGGGTTGGCTGAGCATTTGACAATTTGTTGATCTTGTTTTGTTCAACACTTGTATTTTTGTCTGTACATGAACTGACACCAGCTGTTTCACACCGGGTTTTAAGAAATGCTACTGGTTTTACTACAGTATCTAGCTGTGGGTTGTTATTTTCCGTATTGTTGGGTACAGTTTGTGTATAGCCATTAAACATGTCTTTTTCTGTATTTTCCACCATGTTTATCTCTAAAGCTTTCTCCACCATAGAAATCGTGAGAGACTCATCCATGCTATCAATTTCATTTTCCCGATCACAAATCTGTACAACATCTACAGATTCACACTGCACGCTTTCAGGCTTGCGATCCTTAATCCTGACCCCATTTGATTTTGGAACACAATTGCTAGCTACAGTCCTTTTGGTTTTCAAGTCATTATTCCTGACTCCAGAACCTGTACATTTTGGGTCACTATTGCTGACTCCTGATCCTATGGGTTTGGAATCAATATTGCTGACCCCTGACCCCATAGGTTTCAAATCACTATTGTTGAACCCTGACCCCATAGGTTTCAAATCACTATTGTTGACCCTTGACCCCATAGGTTTTGAATCACTATTGTTGACCCCTGATCCCATAGGTTTTGAATCACTATTGTTGACCCCTGACCTCACAGGTTTCAAATCACTATTGTTGACCCCTGACCCCATAGGTTTTGAATCACTTTTGTTGACCCCTGACCCCATAGGTTTCGAATCACTTTTGTTGAACCCTGACCCCATAGGTTTCAAATCACTATTGTTGACCCCTGACCCCATAGGTTTTGAATCACTATTGTTGACCCCTGATCCCATAGGTTTTGAATCACTATTGTTGACCCCTGACCCCATAGGTTTTGAATCACTATTGTTGACCCCTGACCCCATAGGTTTCGAATCACTATTGTTGACCCCTGACCCTATACAATTTTTGCTACTTTGCTCTACTTCCACAGCCAAAGCAGCAGTGCAGCTAAATGAATCACTCATTTCCAAAGCTAAAACCAAGTCCTGTGTCAGTTGACCCTGTGGAGGGGCCCCTTTCCTTGTTCTCTGTACAGGGGAAGTATTTCTAACAACATTAGGAGGAACAATACGTAGATCACCATATGAACTATTAGATATTTCATTTCCAGTCAATTCAAATGCATCCTCCTCAGCATAACCAAATCGTCTGTCATCAAAGTTACTGGCTGCAATTAACTCCATCGACACATCATGTAGAGAATTGTCAGTCAAAGGACCTTGAATACAATCAATTACAGAGACTTTTTTATGAACAATCACAGGGTTTTGTATGTAAGAGCTTTGTATGGAATCCTTTTGCCTGCTAACATGTCCTATATTCACAGCATTGGCAGTCTCAGACATCTGTTCTTTTCTGTCCCTTCCATTATTGCTGTGTGAATCCTCCACGTCCCTGTTACACATTTTTCTATCTGATTTCCTGTCAGGTTTCCTACCCTCTAACATTTCACCACTGGCTAGATCCTCAGAATAAAGAGGAGGAGAGTTGTCTCCCTTGTGAACACTTCTAGTGGTAAGAGATTCATTTTTACAACCCCGAGTCTCAGAAACATTTCGCATCATAAAATCTGTCTGTGTATCCAGCTCAAAACTATCAGCAAACTCATTCTGTGTGTTTTGAATGTCCCTGGAATGTTTGTGTGCCGACACAGAGTCTGCTGTTGTGGTGGTGGCATTGCTTGCGGAGGATCCTGGGTAAAATGTTACTGAATTTTTAACTTTGGTATTTTTTTCACCAGAATCAGACCTTCCCCCCACTTGTGACGGGACCTCTATACTGTCTACCCCCTCATCACAATCACCATCTCCAAGCTGTGGAGATTCTGTACACACAATCTCATTATTGATAGTGTCAAGATCATTCATCTGTGCTTTATCAGCCTTCTCAGGACCTTTGACCTCCTTTCCTGTAAGGCCAGACAAGCCAAAAGAATCATCAAATGTAAAGCTCATGTCATCAATGATCTGATCAAACTTAATTGGACTAGTTGACTGTTTCCCAGTCCCAACACTACCGAGTGTTTCGGTACAACTGGACACAGAGGTACCAGCGTGGATGTCAACTTCTACAACAACGGGGTTTGGTAGTGTCTTTGTAGAGTCTTGTTCCTTTTGTGAAATTACAGTTTTAGATGTTGTCTTCATGGAATGCTGAATATTCACACTTCCTCCCATAGAAGGTTTAAATCTATCGTCGGAGACTGATATCGTCCGCTGTCCACAGTCATAGGGCTCCGACTGTGATACAGTAACATGTTTAATTGAATTTTCATCATCATCAGAATCCACCGATGGGGTAGTGCTCCGTAATTCATACACAGAATTTCCTATCACAGATTTCATTTGACTAGCACCGTTAGAAATATGGCCGACTTGATTATTTGTCAAGGCACAAATAGAATTCCTGGATGTGACTACTTTTTCTATAGCACTGTCCTTTAAATGACCTTGAATGGAGATAGGTTTTGACCTTGACCTTATCACAGCTTTGCCTGGAGGACTGACTATGACCTGTAGGTCCATAGTCTTGTGTTGATCCCTACACTGCGGACTGACCTTTACCGACTGGTGTTGTATTGGAGATCCGTTCCCTTTACTTGTGAGACTTATATTTGACCGGTTGATTGACCGCCTATATTTTGTACGAGGTCTTGTTGTCCTTCCGCCTCGTCCTGGACCAATGATGACAGACCTATCACTGTGGTTTGATATATTAATGTTAGACTGTGAGTTCCTTGAATCAATCTGAACCCGAGTATTTGTATCAGATGAATTATCCACACTTTTGTTTATAGGCTGTGTCCCTCCATCACCCTGCTCGGTGTCATTGTCACTAGACCCCGCCCCTCTTTCACCAGACTCCAACTCCTGGTTGTCTCTCCATTGTATGCCTAGTCCCCCAAGCTCCTCCTGAATCACAGATTTGGCCTCTGCTATGATGGCGAGGGCGGCCTCCTCTTCAGTCACACCCTTCCTCCCTGTTAGCCAGATACAGCGAGATTTGCGTCGTTGTTCAGCCTCCCATTCTGTTTCATTTTCCTGCTTCTTGTTGCTATAAAATTACAATTATTCATGCTGGCTTTTAATTAACTAAATGTCGAAGACGACCCAAAATTTCACTATTTACTGAACACTGAATCCTCCAACTAATGGAAATTCAAGAAAAGTTGAATATTTTTGCTATCGTATTTAACTTAAGATGTGAACATGCGTCAGTGTTTGATTTCATTAATATGATCATATACTCTACAGAATTCTTTTTATGATCATAAATTATTTTCCAAGTTTTAGAAATATTTCAGGAATAGGGAAAATGTTAGAAGCAAAATTGTTCAATTATTCACATATCATTTCACACAAATGTGATATTTTACCTCTGAAATGGTGAAGAACTTTTCAGAACTGCTTCAACATCAGCAGGAGCAGCACTAACTAGTGAAGCCACTGTGTGAAAACCTGCATTAAACAGCACACGAGCTCGCTGTCCGTTCAGCAGCGTCAGTCGGACAAGGTCGCATAGTTCTCGCTGCACACCAAAGGTCAGACGGTGTTGGAACTGTGAGAGTATGAGCTCTAAGTTGTGCCATCCAAGCCTGGCACAGAACACCGTCACCATACCTGTCAGTACACAGGACAGGAGTCAAACTTAATGTTACAGCCTGGCACAGAACCCCGTCACCATACCTGTCAGTACACAGGACAGGAGTCAAACTTAATGTTACAGAATACCGTCACCATACCTGTCAGTACACAGGACAGGAGTCAAACTTAATGTTACAGCCTGGCACAGAACACCGTCACCATACCTGTCAGTACACAGGACAGGAGTCAAACTTAATGTTACAG